TCACCGAAAACCCGTATAAAAAATGGTGCCGTTCGAAAGATAATGAAATTCTGCATCTAACACAACCAGTTAGAGATCCAACGTAGGTCAGTAAGCAAATCGGGACTAGAGGTGTATCAAACATGTGAAATTTCTTTCTTGAGAGAAGAATTTAAACATTCACACTGTCCGAAGTCGAGAGAGAGAGCTCATAACAATTTATGTGAGAGTTTAACAAAATATGGCAGAATTGATGAATATGAACAGGACGGTCTTGTTGGCTTGTGTTCAATTCAACTCGATTCGATGTGGTTCGACGCAGTCGACTTACATCGAATCGAATCATCGGACATATTGCTCAGTTTTGGGGTCTCTGATTAACACAGGTTTTCTATCGAAAATCAGTTTTGAAACAAAAACAAATCATTTTTCAGACCATTTGAGACCATCGCTCAACTTTGAAACACCTTTTAGGCTTCACCTAAAACTTAAGCACACTGAGTTCTATGTTGCTTTCTAACTGAGACCTAAAACTATCTGCTTTGTTTACACAAATGTTCTATTTTGTTGAAAAGCGATGAATACTACAACTACAATTTCAACTACAGCTACAATTCCAACTACGCCTACAACCACTACTCAAGATCCAGGTAACCTTTAGATTAACGCCTTTTAACCTTAGTAAATATTAATTTGTGATCAGATATACAGATTTGCTTTGTGTGCAATATTAATCTACGGCTAGCGAAACGTCATATTGATAAGACCATGAATTCTATATCATAAGTAGTTCAACGTTTATCATAAGTAAAAACCAAGTAATAATGATTTCCATGTTGGCTATTTTTCGCCACCACCGAAGTTTGATCCGTTTTGTTGACAGCGATAGAATGAAATTCTTTCTTCTTGTGCATTTGGTATCACTATATATGCTGCCTTTCAACAGAAAATGCTTTGTCTGAATTCTAGAGAAAAAATTTGACTTCATATGCTGTAAAAATTCGCTGTTTTTTAAGGCTTCGTCTCTCCTTTCTCTATCTAAATTCTGATAACCTTGAGGACTACAAGTAGGCGTGAACGAGTACAAGACCCACACTTTTCTTAGTTCCAAAAACATAGTAAACTGAAGATAATTCTGATAACAGATCATTAAATGATCAATTGTGAGAAAAAAACTATGCGTTGAGTCAGAAAAATAAAGTGAAACGATATTTAAGAAAAAAAGATAAAAAGTCAATTTCTTAATATACAGATGACCATATCTCGCCAAGAAACAGCTATGGACAAGAACACTTTTTGATTATTCTCAGTCGTGCTGAAATCTACACGTAACCGAAAACATGGAGTCAAAAGTTCCGAAATAGTCGACGTAGTTCCCTCTTGAGTATGTTAGGGAAAATGAACATTCTCGAAAGTTCTACCAAGTTCTCTTCAAGGAGAAGAAGAATGTGACATTTATACCACTTTTTCCGTGCGAAGGAGGAGGATCTCTTCAGCAACGATGATAATTCATTTTCTTTTTTGTTGTTCATGTCAGTGATTCCCAATGTTCCAGTCAATGCTACATGGGCACAGAACGGAGTGACTGTTGCTGGAGGCCGTGGACTAGGCAATGCTCTTGATCAACTACACCACCTTAAAGGTTTCCTCGCTGCTGATGATCAAACGTTGGTCATCTCTGACTGGAACAACAATCGTATCGTCGAATGGCAGGTAGGTGGTACGAAGGGAAGAGTGGTAGCTGGTGGCAATGGCCAAGGAGATCGATTAGATCAATTGTTTTTTGTTACCGATGTATTGATCGATAATGAGACAGATAGTCTCATTATGTGTGATGATCGAAATCGACGAGTCGTGCGATGGTCTCGTCGTAATGGCACAACTCAAGGAGAAATTCTCCTCGACAGCATCTTTTGCTACGGATTAGCCATGGACGATCAGAGAGGTCTCTACATTTCTGACCCCATCTTGCTTGATGTTAGACGATATCAAATAGGAGAGAAGAATGGAATTGTAGTGGCTGGTGGGCATGGTAGAGGTGATGGCGTCACTCAACTTGACGACCCAACCTATCTCTTTGTCGATCGACAACAAGCTGTTTACGTTTCAGACACCGAAAATCATCGTGTAATGAAATGGAGCAAGGGAGCAACAGAAGGAGTTGTTGTCGCCGGTGATCATGGTGACGGGAAGTCTCTGAGACAATTATCGTATCCGGGAGGAATGTTCGTCGATTCGTTGGGTACTGTGTACATATCAGACACAAGGAACCATCGAGTGATGCGTTGGCCTAAAGGAGCAGGACAGGGCACTATCATTGTGGGTGGTAATGGTGAAGGAGCAGGAGTTAATCAGTTGTCTTACCCTACAACTATTTCCTTCGATCGACGTGGCAATCTCTATGTCTTCGACAATGGAAATCATCGAGTACAACGTTTTTCTATTGAAGATACTGATTAGAATGATTAATGAACTATTTGCTCTTTCAATGAAATAAATAACACTAAATAAAAATGTGGACTATAGCAATACGAAGATTTTGCAGGCACGAAATAGACTTATATACGCATGACAGGCATATGAGACTTCAAAGAAAAGAAGCCTATAGAGTATTCTCAAATGGAATGACTCACTCTCATCTACACTCTTTTGCAAGCTGCTTATAACAAAAACGACAAATATTGTTAAAAAATGTTGTTTTTGAAGTTATTCTAAGTTGTTATTGCTTAGGTAACTCAATAATTAACAACAATGATATCTATGTTGAGAGGAATCAGAAAATCCGGAAGCGAAGGAAATAGGTCGGATGTGGGTGTCGGGATGTTGGAGAGAGGAAAACCACTCAGCAACACGAGCATGAACACCCACCCTGTAAGGAGAGCCAAGCCAAGAAGAGATAGAATCTTTCAATCTGCATATTTAAATGAATAACTCTTGTGAAACACGATCTAAAAGTAGTGTTGACGTGTATAGGATAGAAATTTGGGCCCACTACCCCATCCCCTCCCCACAGGCCGTAGCAGACATTTTAATTAATTAAATAATAAATTAACGAATTATAATATAATTAATTGATTACCATCACTGGCGGTGACAGGCAGACTTCAGAAACCGTCATAGATCGTGATAGACGGCTTCAAGCAGGTATCGGAGATCATGTATATCTAATATCTAATTGAAATTTATATGAATTATTTACTTTTTGAAGTTGTATAGTTTAAAAAAAGCAATGATGGCGAAATGTGCCCCAATATGCATGAAAAAGAGCTTGTTAGCCAGCCCCTTTGGAGCTGAAGTGTGGAACTCACATATGCTCTCTAGCCTCATTCAACTGATACAAAATGCGTAAACTGAAAAATCTCTCTTAGGCTATAGTTGTTTTGCAGGAAAATCAATCGCAAGAGTAAGAATCTCTCTAATTTCGAACAGAATGTATTTTAAACTTTTTTCTATGGGCGCCCTATTTTTTATTTGCATTGTTGCTATTCGCTCATTATTTTTTTATTTTTTTTAATTCGTTTTTTTTTAATTTATCATTCTTATTATTATAATCATTGAATTGATTGACAAATTAGTGTGTTTTACATACCTATGATATCTACAGCAGACCTTACACACTATCATATATATTAATCAAGTCACAAATAATGATATTCATTATTTTTCAAAATTATAACTGAATCAATTTTCCAAA